GACCTTCTCACAAGCTTTTCAGGAACAAGGTAGATTTCAGGCTGGAAGGGACCTTCCTGACATCTTCTTCATTTCTTCGCTTGTTTTTGCAGATGAGTAAACTGAGGCCCGGAAAGGGGGCAGGGCTTGCCCAAGGTCCCCAGGCAGTCAAGTGGCCATGCTGGGATTTGAGTCCAGGCCCTCGGGCTTTGCTGTATTTACCTAGTTTAGTCTGGCAGTTTTTCCAGCTGGGAAGGACATCAGTCCAATCTCATTTTACAAAGGAACTGAGGGCCTCGGGGACCTCATCTGTAAAAGGAGGAGGTTGGCCCTGATGGCCAAGCCAGTCCTCTCTTCATTTCCCACCTGGCTGTCCTCCATCACCCCCCCAGGAAACTTACCGACCTTGGTACTCACAAGCCACTGGTACCCTCTGCCCCTCTGACTGGAAAGCTGGAGGGCAGCCTCCAGCGAAGGACTCCTCCCGAAGACTTCATTTAAAGAGGATTTGCAAGCCAAGCCAACTCTTCATTTCCCACCAGGCTTCACTCCTCTGCACTGGACTCCAACATGCCCCAGCCTGGGGCGACTCTTCCTTGCCATCCCCCCTTCTCAGCTTCCTCCGATGGGCTACCTTCCCCATTAGACTGAAAACACTCTGAGGACAGGGACTGTCTTTCTTCTTCCTATTTGTATCCCCAACACTTAACACGGCACATGGCAGATGCTTAAGAAATTCTCGTCAAAATGAACTGAACGAACAAGGTGTGGATGAGTCCCAACCTGCACAGGTGGAGAGAGTGACTGCACGGGTAGAGATGAGCTCATGGACCATAAAAGACTGGAAGCCCATTTCCAATTCCTGCTAATTGTTCTTCTCACATGACGTGGGATCTAATGCCTTGTTGCTACATGCCATAAAGAAAGACCTACCTTCCCAGGCCTTCTGCTCTTGCTTTCCCTAAGAGAACGATTTTACTGGAATGAGGAATGAGGGATTTGAAGTCGGGGGACCCAGGCCTTACCTTGTGGCACTTACTACTGTGGGTGACTTAAGGCCTCTTGGCTTCAAGTTCTTAATCTGTCAAATGCTGGGCTTAGAGCAGACGACCACTGAGCTCCCTTCCAGACCCACAGCCATGCCCGTCAGCCAGGGAAACAAAATCCTTGAGCCCAGTAAGTCTTCCTTTCCTTGCAGCAGATCAAACTCCTCAAGCCCCTCCTTTAGCCCAAACTCCTCATGAGCCTCTTAATGCTTGTGGTTCGACTTTTTTGCTCTGCTCTTCCCTACCTGTGTGACTCAGGGCAAGCGACTTAACCTCTCTGGGCCTCAGTTTCCTCCTGTGTAAAATGAGGGGGTCAGACAAGCATCCATGGTCATAGACTTAGACAGGAAGGGACCTGAGAGGCCCCTCTGCTCCAGACTTGTGCAAATCCAGAAGGAATAAGCACTCTGTCCAGCCACCCGAGGAGTAAGTGGCACAGCCTGAATCTGGGCCCGTTTCTCTGATTCCAAACGACAGTCCCGCCAGCTGGAAGCCAGGGGCTCCTAATCTTTTCTTGGTGGCATCACGCCCCTTGGCAGTCTGTTGAAGCCGACTCCTAGGTGGGTCATTTAACCTTTTTCTGCCTCAGTTCCTTCATCTGTAAAATGGGAACAGTAATAGCCCCTGCCTCTCAGGGTTGTTGCGAGGATCAAATGAGATAATAAATGTAATTTATGTTATTGTTGTTCAGCTGTGTCCGACCGTTCGTGACCCCATCCGGGCTTTTCTTGGCAAAGATACTGGAGTGCTTGGCCATTTTACAGAGGAGGAAACTGAGGCAAACAGGGCAAAGTGACTTGCCCAGGGTCACACAGAGGTCAGATTTGAACTTGGGAAAATGAATCTTCCAGACTCCAGGCCCAGAGCTCTATGCTGCACAACAGTAAGGGTAAAGCACTTCGGGAACCTTCAAAGCATTATGTAAATACCAGCTAAACACATAGACTCCTTCTCAGAAGAATGTTTTTAAATGAATAAAACAGAATGACAAAGAAAATCAATTCTATGGAACATACAAACGCCCAGGAACCAATGGTTTCCATCAAGCAGACCTTTGGAGCTCTGTTACTCCACTAGGTCGATGTGCCTTCCAGACTTAAACAAAGGGAACCCTTAAAATTAATTCCTTAGGAAAAAATGTTGTGTGTTAGTGGAAATAAAGTAAAAGCGCACCTGGCTCTTTCCGTCTTGACTGAGGCACACATGCCCTCAGAAGCAGCAAATGTTGCCCAGGGCATTAAAAGGTGGCTTTGAGAAGAAGCTAATTCTTCTGGGAACTGTGCTGCTCAGCCTGCTTTTCCTTTTTTTGAAGGGAGAAAAACACACACACACACACACACACACACACACACACTCTGAAAACTGGCACCGACCAGCTCCAACCCTGATGGCCATAACCCACAGCTCGCTCTGGGCTCTGCAAGGGAGCTTCTGGACAGAGGGCATGCCAAAAGATGCTCACACTGGTGTACATTTCCACTGTCCCTAGGACCCGACTGGCAGTAAGGGACAGGTGGGTTCCTCAACAAGGAACCTTCTCTCTGAAGATCAAACATCCCCAAGTCCTTCTGCCCATCTTCACACCACATGATTCCCTACTGTTTGCTATCCTGGCCACAGGCGGCAGGTCACAGGCTCTTGCTCTGGTTTCTCCATTCCTTTCCTAAGAGGTGGCTGACAGAACTGAGCCAAGTATTCTAGACAAGGGCCTGATGAGGATGGGTGGGGGTTCAGCTTCCTTGTCCCAGATGCTCGGTTTTTCATACTGGGGCCTACGATGACGTGAGTCCTTCTATCGACCACGTTACACCATGGACTAGCGGTGTATCTGTATCCACTGATGCCTAAGTCTCTCATCTGAACAGCTGCTAAGCCGGCTTTCCTTGACCTGGCCTGCCTCCACCGAGCTGCAGAACCCTGGTCCGCTGCATCACCTTTGTTTTAGACTGCTGACAACTTCTCCAAGGCTCGTTATGTCAGACAATATATTAGCTATCCCTCTCAGCCTTGTCTCATACCAAACTCAATACCGTGGTTGTTCTGGAGAACAATTTGGAACCAGGACCACAGACCTAGAACCGGAGATGGCCTCAGAGGATCCCATCTGGGATAATTCCCTCATTTCCAAAATGACGAAACTACCCGAGAGAGCTTCAGTGATTCATCAAGGTCACCCAAGTAGTAAATGACAGAAGCGGCACTTGAACCCGGGTCTTCTGATCCCAAAGACAGTGTTCTTTCCACTGTACCTGACCATCTTTTACTTTTACTAGAAAAGTCACTAAACCCAGCACTAACAGTACCAGGCACATTCTCCAAGGAAGGCAAAGACAGAAAGGAAAGGCCCTAATTGTTAGTGCCCTCAAATAATACCACGTCTACTTATCTGTGGGTAAGTTTTAGGCCCCTGGTAAAACATAAAGTCCTTGAGGACAGGGCCTGTTTCTTTCTTTCTTTCTTTCTTTCTTTTTGGCAATTGGGGTTAAGTGACTTGCCCAGGGTCACACAGCTAGTAAGTGTCAAGTGTTTGTTCTGAGGCCAGATTTGAACTCATGTCCTCCTGACTCCAAGGCCAGTGCTCTATCCACTGTGTCACCTAGCTGCAGCCTGTTTCTCCTTTCTCTCCTTCTGACTCCCAAGCTTAGCAAGGTGCCTGCACACAAGGGCAGGCCCTTTCAGCTCTAGACCACCATGCTGCGTGTCCTGTGGTCCTCATGACAGCCTTGGGAGGCCAGTCATGCAGGCGTCATTGTCCTCATTTAACCAGGGAGGAAGAGGAAGCTTCTGGGGATAAATGACTGGCCCAAGGTCACATAAGTGGGATCCACTCCAAATACAGAATTCTTGCCATTGCCCTGTATAGGGCCTGTAGCTGAACTCTGAATACAAACGTGTTTAGCTGAGTCTTAGTGAGGGAAGTAAAAGCTTATCAAGAGAATCATTCAGAATCTGGAGACAGAAAAAGTTTGCCCCAAAGAGACAGATACAGAGAGAGATAAGAGAGACACAGAGATTCACACGGACACAGAGAGATACACATAAGAGACAGACAGATACACAGAAACAAATAGAGTGGGAGTGCCATGGAAACAGAGACAGACAGTAAAAATGAGAGACACATACACAGACAGAGAGAGAGGAGGAGAAAGATGTATATGGAGGCAGAGACACATATACAGACAGAGAGGAGGAGAAAGATGTATACGGAGGCAGAGACACATACACAGACAGAGAGAGAGAAGGAGAAAGATGTATACGGAGGGAGAGACACATACACAGACAGAGAGAGGAGGAGAAAGATGTATACAGAGGCAGAGACACATACACAGACAGAGAGAGAGGAGGAGAAAGATGTATACGGAGGCAGAGACACATACACAGACAGAGAGAGAGAAGGAGAAAGATGTATACGGAGGCAGAGACACATACACAGACAGAGAGAGAGGAGGAGAAAGATGTATACAGAGGCAGAGACATACACAGAGAGAGAGAGGAGGAGAAAGACGTATACAGAGGCAGAGACACATACACAGAGATAGACATAGAGACAGAGTTAAAACTACAGAGACAGAGAGATTCACACGGACACACACAAGGGAGAGAGAGGCACACTCAGAGAGAGAGTACCACAGAGACAGTAAAAAAGAGACACAGAGAGATACATACAGACACACAGAGAGAAAGATGTACACAGAGGCAGAGACACACTCACAGAGGCAGAAAGCCACAGACAGAGAGCTATACAGAGACAGAGATTCACAGGGACAAACAGACAGAGAGCCCCAGAACCAGAGAAGAGACAAAGACAGATGGCAAGTGAGATACCGAGACATTGAGAGAGGCACAGACAGAGATAGAGACACAAAAGTAGAGTCAGACAGAATAAAATCCTCAGGTACAAGCACTCTTAAGGCAACAAAATGAAGACGGTTAAGTCCTCTGATTTAATAGGCAATGCCCTGACACTGAACTTACTGGGCGTTTCTTCTAAGATTTCCTGGAATTTCGTCCTTTCGTAGTCTACCAGCTGGCGCTGAAGATGGGGTCGAAGGCTCTTGATGGTGAAATTGACCATGTCAATCTTCATGAGGTCCAGCACGTGGAATATTTGTCTTTAAAAATCAGAATGAGAGTGAGTTAGAGAGGGAAGGGTAAGAGGGAAGGCAAAAACCAAAGCCCCCTACTGAGAAATTCAGTTTCAAAATTGCATGTGCTGATGGAGATAGGGGAGTATATACATACATATGTATACATACACATATATACATACATACGTGTGTGTGTGTGTATACAGAAAGAGAGAGAGAGAGAGAGAGAGAGAGAGAGAGAGAAGAAGGAGATCCAGGAAAACAAGAGATATAACAATTACTACAGCAATTTAAATGGTGGGGGGAGTTGGGGAGAGAACAGCAAAATAATCAAAACTGAGTGCTGGGTAATAATAAGGCTCAAACTTGGCCTTGATGAAGAAAGAGGGAAATGTCCTCTTCTTTGCTAAAGAGGACTACAGATGTGGAACACTGACAATACCGTCAGATACTGCGGATGCTTTGGTTTGCTGAACTGCCATTTTTTTCCCCCTTTTTTATTTGCTGTCATATGGATGGTTCTCTAGTTGGGGAGGAGGGAGAGATACATTTGGAAATGAAACTGACATAAAGATAAAAGATACCAAAAACCTTTTTTTTTAAAGAAAAAGAAAACAAGGTTTAAAATATATGTATGTCATCTGTCCCCCTCCCCCCAAAAAATTCTACAAAATTTCATGGCCCAATAAAATGAGGTAATTCTTGAAAGAATTCTATGACAATATATTACAATAGGATAAGTAGTATTTTAAAGTATTATTACATACTTTATTTCTTATTTAAAATTAATTTTAGTAATAATGAATGTTTTATTATTAAATAGTATTTTAAATATTTTATACTCAAGTATAAAGTATTTTTTATTATATATTATATATACTTATTAGATATTTTAAAGTATTTTACATTGAAAATACTTAGATGTAGGATATAAGTATTGAGTATATTAAATACAAAATAAAGGTATTTTGTACTTAAGTATAAAATATAAAAATTAAGTAAGTACATCAACTGTAAAAATATCAGCATAAGTATTTTATACTTAAGTATAAAATATAAGTATTAAGTAAGTATATTAACTATAAAAATAAGTATTCTATACTTTAAAATATCTTGAAGTATTTTAAGATACAAAATGTCTGAGTCATTCCATCCAGTCACAGATGAATAGAAGGAAATTAAGCTATATAAACGAACAAATTAAAAAAAATACATAAAAATAAAGGGGGGAAGAAGTGATTAGATGTTGTCAAACACACCCAATATACTGATTTGTTCAACAACTCTCTTGTTTCACAAGATCCCAGATTCAGAGCTACAAAGAACCTTAGAGGCTATCCTCTCATTTTACAGATGAGGAAAACAAGGCTGAGAGAAGAGAACAGACTTGGCCAGGATGACACAGGAATGTCTCAGGTCTTCCTGATTCCCAAAGCCATTGTCCTAGCTACTGCTTCACCCTGCTCCCAACTGTGCCATCTGGTACAAAAAAGGGCTTTTTTTGGTGGTTGAGTGGTGGTGGGAGGGGAGATGTTGGACTCCAAAAAAAATGCAAGAGCTTGTAAATTCTAGTGTCTTTTCCCTTTCCAGAATACTTTCTGACTAGTCTGCATGTATCTTGTAGGCACCTAGTTATCTGCGTGTTAGCTGTCCCATTGGAATGTAAACACTTTGAGGGCAGGGGCACTTTTTTCTGGCCTTTCTCTGAATCCCCTACTCTTAGCATCAGTATCTGGCAAATACTAAGTGCCTGATAAATGCTTGCGGACTAACTACTCCTTTCAATGATGCACATTGAAGCTCATCCCTGCAGACCCATCCTGGGTAATTCTCATCCACAGGCAGCCCATTAGGAAGCCCATTAGGGTGGTTTTTTAAAAAGCATCAAGAAAACTTTTTTAAAAAAAGAATTAATTGAGACTTTCCAGTAGAAATCAGCGAGGAGCCTAACTAGTCCTTTGGCACACTGCTTCTGATCTCTTCCATGTATGCTGGAATAGGAGGAAAAGAAGGCCATGCATTACCAATACGAAATAGTCCATACAGAATCAGATTCCTTGGATCAAGCATTCTAAAACCCAGATCTCAAAGAGGTTAACAAAAAGCCATCCCTGGTGGGCCATGACACAGACGTGCAGTCAGAAGACCTCGGTTCAAGCTGTGGCCCACGGATGTGTCTGCTGGGTGACCTTGGGATGTCACTTCTCTCTAGGACTCAGTTTCCTCCTCTGTGACATAAGGGAGTTGGACTCGTTGGCCTCCAAATTCCCTTTCAGCTCTAAATCTAAAATCTTATGATAAGTCATTGATCCCCTCTGGGTCTCAGTCTTCTCATCAGAGAAATGAGGGTGATGGAGTAGTTAGAGCAGGAGTTCCCTTTCAGCTTGAAATTTCAGATCCAATGATTCCTGCCCTCAAGGGGCTTACAGTCTATTGGAAGAGAAAGCACGCACACAAATGGGCTTATACAAAATAAATACAAGGTAATCTTTGCTTCACTCCAGTATCTTTGCCCAGAAAACCGCATTTGGGGTCACAAAGAGTCGGACAGGACTGAACAACAGCCATCTTTGCTAGAGAGAAAGCGCTCCACCCAAGTTGTCCGCTCCTAGGGAGCAGGGACAATTGCCTGATGGGAGGGCCCACTTTGATGGGAACCTGGCACACAGTAAGCACTCAGTAAATGCTTGCTAGACAGAAGAACAGAATCCCCCCAGCACCAACCTCAAGAGCTCCACGATATTGCCAGTGGCTTTGAGTTCCTTGATGTCATCATCCCGGACAGGAGCACACAGCTTGCCCATGGTACTGATGACGTAACTGGCCAGTCCCTGGATGTCCACGGCATTGTGCTCAGCTTGCTGCCTGATAAGGTCGGAATCCAGAACTTCACCGATCTGGGTCCGGAGTCGGTTTCCACCAGGAGTCAGAAAAGACAGAAGAGTCTATGGGGGAAGGAGGAGAGAGGCAAGAAAAAACCCAGGTAAGAGAATTTAAGGGATGGCTGAGGGGCGGGTGGTTTTCCCTAAATTAAAGAAAACAATGGAAATGATGCATTAAAAGAAAAGTACATAGAACAGAAGGAAGTTCAGAGACAGACAAATGGGAGAGCCTTGGAACTAATATGCTGAAAGTACTATATCCTACTTTAAAAAATCAGTATATAATGGAAATTTGTGGTTTCATGTATACTCTTCTTTTTTTGTTCTTTGCATAATAATAACAATAACAATAATTCTTTGCATATAGAAGTGCTCAACTTACTAGTATTTCTTAAGTTGAGAATAACGAACAAAAATTTTTTTAATTAAACAATTCCAGAGGTAGTATGGTCTGGTGCAGGGACCCACCCTCAAGTCAGGACTGAATGTCTGCTCCTTGACAGGGGGGATTATTTTGTGCTTCCCCTGCCTAGTACAGCGCCTAGCCCACAGTGTATGCTTAATAAATGTTTGCTGACTGGTCACCATCTGGATACTGGCTGTATGAGCTAGAGAGGTGGAAAGAATGATGGATTTGGCAACTGAAGAAAAAAGTTCATATTCTGCTCTCCCACCTATGTGACCTAGGGCAAGTTACTTAACCTCTCTGGGCCTCAGTTTCCCCATTTGTGAAAGCAGACAGTTGGCCTGGTTGCTCTCTGAGGCTTTCCGGCTCTAGACCTTGGGTCACTTAAATTCTATGGTCACTTAACCTCTCTGGTACTTAATGGCCTTACTTGTAAAGGAGAGTTGGATGGCACAGGCTCTGAGGTCCCTACCAAATGAGGAGCTCTGAGACTATGAAACAACCTAGGAGCCAGGGAGCAAGTCACCCACGACCTCAGTGTCCACTGGCAACTCACTACCTCATCCTAACTTGCAAAGATGGGGTTGATATGCATTGGATGCAGGGCTTCCTTACTATGAATTCTCTATACCAGTGAAATCACAGGTTCATACCAAGGGAAAAAAAGCTCTGTATCCATGGGTATAGCTCATTCCAGGTGTAAGCAACCTTGATGGAACCAGTAATGGAGCAGGCTATAAGGCCTTGGCCCTTGGGTATCAAAGTTTCCAAAAGAATGCACTCTCCCTGCCCCACTTCCCTTCTTCCTCTCCTTCTTCCCTCTTCCTTCTTCTCCCTAACCCTTTTCTCTTTTTCCTTTCCCTCTCTCTCTCCTTCCTCTCCCTATCACCCTCCCCTCTTCTTCTCCCTATCCCTCTTCCCTTCTTTCTCTCCCTATCCCTCTTTCCTTTTTTTCTCCCTCTCCTTTTTCCCTCTCCCTCTTCCCTTCTTTCTCTTCCTATCTTCTTCCCTTCCCCCCCCCAACTAAATCACTTTCCCTGCAGCAAACTCCCAATATAGCAAGCCTAAAAGCAGCAGGACTCAGATCACCCAGAGTTCCTGGCATCATTTCAAAACCTTTGCAGATAAGCCAGCAGAAGGGCAGGCCGTAGGGCATGGTATCCTGGGAACACCAGATAGGCGAGGCCTGTGCTCTTCCACCCAGGTAGTTTTCTAAGGTAGTGTGGGTCAGCGGTTATAGCCCTTTGGGTCACAAGACCTGGTCAGTGCCTTGGCTCTGGCATTTACTATCCGTGTGTCCTTGGGAAAGTCACTTCACAGGTAAAATAGGGAACATGATAACTGATATTTCTATAGAACTTTACTGATTGAAAAATACTTTCTTTCTGTCATCTCACTGTAGCTTGACTAAAATCCTGGGAGGGAAGTGTAATTACTGTCTCCACTGTTCAGAGGAGGAAGCTGAGTTCCATAGAAAGGAAGTGACTTGTCCAAGGCAGCATGTGCTCAAGGCAGTTCTGAACTCCTATGGCTAACTCTCTACCCACGACACCACACTGCCTCTCACAACAGCCCAGGCATTTCTCAGCTGTGTGGACAGAGGTTAGTCAACTATATCACCCTGAGCCTCAGTTTCCTCAATTTGTGAAATGAGGGGGCCGGGTTAGATGACCCCTTTCAGCTTTAAAGCTATGCTGGAAAATGGGATAATTTATGTAGCAATCAGATCAACAAGCCGTGTTTGAGGGACCCCCAAAAGGGACAGAGATTCTGCAGAGGGCTCTGACTTTTCTCCTCCAATTTTCCCTTGTCTGAGACCTAACGAGCCACCTTACTGACATCTATCACCACATATCTTGTATGTATCCATTTATGTCTCCCCCGTTAGAATGTAAGCTCCTTGAGGGCAAGGACTGATTTTGGTTTTGCCTTTCTTTTTATCCCCAGCTCTTGACATGGTGCGGGGCACATGGCAGGCACTGAATAAATGTTCGTTGATTGATTCAGTCTACAGAAGGTATAGGAGACAGCACAGGACAGAGAAGAGAAGGCTGCTCATAGAGTCAAAAAGACTTGGTTCCAAGCACTGTTTGTTTGGAGCCTGAGGTGCTACCAAATGGGGATTTCTCCCCAGTAGAAGGTAAGCTCTTTGAGGGCAGGGCCAGTTGGACTAGATGGCCTCTGAGACCCCTCCCAGCTTGGGAGTTTTCAGCCAGGGGGCTTGCCTCTGCCTGCAGGACCACCTCTAAGGCCCAGAACCTCCCAGAGCCCCTCGAAGACTGTTAAGTTACACAGGAGAGACCTGGGCAGACAGAGGAAACTGCTCACACTGATAAATTCAGAGGGCCAGACTCCCCCCTACTCCTCCCCCCTAAAAAAGGAAAGGAACAAAAAGTCCAAAAGGTACATTTGCTAACCAAAGATCAAAATGACACTTTGTCTCTTCTTGTAACTACTTTGTATCTGCTTTTTAGGGGAATGTGTTTTCTCCTCCAATAAAATGCAAGCTGGTTGAGGGCAGAAGCTGCTTTTGTTTCAATTTCTATCCCTTGTAGCTAGTACAGACACTGACAGACACATAATAGTCACTTATTACACGTGTTGAGTGGACGGATGGATGGATGGACAGAGGGTGGGTGGATGGATGGACGGATGGATGGAGGGATGGATGGATGACAGTGCAAGGTGCCAAGTGGATTTGATGAGCCTTTGCCATAACTTTGTGGCTCTCCTGGGTTCCATGACTTACAGACTGGAAAACACTATTTTAAAGCACTATATATAAGTTATGCTTCTGGTACCTCTAGGTAGGGACAGAAGGGAGAAAAGGAGAGGTGATGAGGGAGGGAAAGAAATGGAAAACAGAAACACGCCCTCTGTAGTTCTGCCACGTGGAGCAAAAACAGTCTTTGATAGGTCGATGACAGTCTTAGAGCTGGGCAGGACCTCAGAAGTTGCCAGCTCCACCTTTCCCATTTTATAGCTAAGGAAACTGAGACCCAGAGAGGGGAAGTGACTTGCTCAATGACACACAGGCAGTAAATGTTAGAGATGGAGTCCAAATCCAGGTCCTCTGACTCTTAATCTGACTGGCTAGTTTCAAAAATGAAAGAAGGCAAAGTGTTTTTAGAGAGAATGAAAGGAAGGGAGAGAGAGAGGAAAGGAAAGAGAAAGAAAGAGGAGAGAGAAGGAAGAAAAATAAAGAGAGGGAAAGCTCAAGAAAGAGAAAAAGGGAGGGGGAAAGAGAGAGTAAGGGAGAAAAAGAGAGAAGAGGGATAGAGGAGAAGACAGAGAGAGAAAAGGGAAGGGACGGAAAAAGAGAGAGAGAGGGAAAGAGAGAAAGCCAGAGAGAGGAATGGAACAGATAGAAGAAAAGGGAGAGGGAAAGAGAGAAGGAGAGAAAGGAAGAAAGAGAAAAATAAAGAGAGGAAGGGAGGGATGGAGGAAGAGAGAGAAGAGGAGAGAGAAGGAGGGAGGGAGAAGAGGAAAGACAGAGGAAAAGAGAGAGTAAGGGAGGGAAAGAGAGAGGGGAAAAAAAGGAGAAAGACACAGAGACAGAGAGAGAAAAAGGAAGGGAAGGAAAAAGAGAAGGGAGGAAAAAAGAAAGAAGAGGGAGAGATAGGAGAGAGAAAAGAGAAAGAGGAGGAAGAGAGAAAAGGGAGAGGGAGGGAACGAGGACAGAAAGGAAAGGAGAGCAAAATAGAGGAAGGGAAAGAGAGAAAAGAGAGAGAGAAGAATGGAGAGAAAAAGAGTGAGAAAAGAGAGAGGGAGAGAGGGGGAAAGAAAGGAGAAAAGAGAGAGGGAGAGAGCTGAGCGGGGGAGGGAGGACAGAGAGCGCTATCAACTTGCCTCTCTTATTTCTTCAAAAAGTTTGATGGCATGCTCGTACTCGGGAGGATCTTCATTGAGTTCTGCCTCCAGGTGGTCCCAGAAAGCCTGGTGAACGATATGTTTCACTTGACCAGCCAGGCTGCAAGGGAGAAGCGATCACTGCATGTGAATCAGCTAAACTGGCCTTTCCAGAGGCCAGAGTTCTAAACATGAGCCAAAGGAGACTGGTCCCTAAGGATACCCACCCGCTCGCCAAGCTCAGCCCAGAGGTGCCAGCACCTGTTTGAGTGGTCCTGGTCCCCAGTCAGAGCCTTCCTGTGGTGAGGCAGCAGCTGCCAGAGGTGGGTGGCCTCAGCCCTGCCCTCACAGCTGGGGAGCCGCTCCTGGCAAGGGGCAGGGGTGGGTTCCTATTCCTAGAGTCTACAGGCTATCAAAGAGACCTCTCATCAAGTTGTGACCCCCTTGGCACATCTCACAATCTTAACAAGGGGGAAAAAAATAATCGTCAGTGCCAGGAGAGATGAAAATTAATCTCCCCAAAGAATTTTCCTTGTAACCACTATCGTATCTGCCTCATTCAGATACTGTGAGTGACAGCTCCTTGCCGTGGAGGTAAGCATGGTTCTTGGAGCTTTGGGGAGTCACAAAGATCTGGGTTCCAATCCCGGCTGACACATACTCCTTGTAAAACCTTGGGGAAGTCACTTAACTCCCATTACTCAGTCTCCTTATTTGTACAATGTGGGGGTCAGACTAGATGGTCACTGAAACCCCTCCCAGCTCTAGAACTAGGATCCCTCCAGAGCCAGTTTTCCTACCTGTAAAATGGGGCTTACAATACTTGTAGAGGCAGCCTCATAGGGTTGGTGAAGGGGTCAAGTGAGATAACATGTATGCAGCACTTTGCAGACATCAGTGTCGACATGGCTGCCGGGGGTATTTTTGTTGGGGCTGGAGGGGAACTAAGAGGCCATGAGGCCCAACCTTCTCACGTCACAAAGGAGAAAACTGCAGCAGAGAAGGGTCACACAGTTAATAATAGTAAGTCTATGGCAGGATTTGTCCCCAGGTCCTCCTGACTCCTGGTCCAGGAACCTATCCACTAACCCCCACTACCTTTCAATAAACTCTGGCACCCAGAACTGAACCCAGTGTCCAATTTCTCCAGAGCAAAATGTCTGGCCACTGGGCTAAGCAAGCAAGCAGCTCGTCCTCCCGTGGGATCAGACAGCCTCAGTGGAAAAGGACTCTGGAGGACCACGGAAGTGAATTCATTTTCCCAGGGCCTGACTTCTGACTCAAGGCCTCTGGTGTGCCCTGCTTCCAAACACAGACATGCATCCTCTCACCTGTTCTCAGGCAGCGCTCCCTGTCTGACATGGAAGTTCTCGTTTACGGCGATCTCGTGAGCAAGCGTCATGTTGGAGATATTCCTCGCGGCAGCCATCACTTCATCAAACGTCACCACTCTGGGCGGGCTTGTCGCTAAAGGGCCAAGAAGTCCAGGGTGACACAGAGCCTCACTTCTGGGGAGTAGTAGCCTCACCCCTGACCCTCCCACATTCTGAGACTGCTTATAGTCTGATCAAAATCTTTCTTCTTTAAAATAATAACAATCACGTATTAGGCACTTAACACATGCTAAGTGCTTCACAAATGTCATTTGGATCCTTACAACAACCCCAGGAGATAGGTGCTATTATAATCCCCTTTTTATAGTTGAGGAAACTGGGGCAAACAGAGGTTAAGTGACTTGCCCAGGGTCACACAGCTACTAAATGTCTGAGGCCAAATTTGAACTCAGGTCTTCCTGACTCCAGGTCTAGGACTCTGTCCCTAGCAGCCCACACCTTCAACTTCATATAATACTCTGTTCTGTATTTCTCCTTCATCTGAATGTAAATTCCCTGAGGGCAGGGATTTTTTTTTTCCTCCGGTCTTACTTTGTATCCCCAGGGCTTAGCCCAGTGCCTGGGTCATAGTAATTACTTAATGAAATGATTGTTGAATTTGGCCCAAACTTGTGTTTGCATCAGCGTAGGAACTTCAAGTGTGGAAATTCCTTGTACCACTGCAGAAGAGAGGTTGAATCAAGCAATCAATTCATGAGAATTTTTGAATGTACTGGGTGGGGACTGGGGCTACAAAGATGAAGAAGGAGACAATCCTCCTTCAGGAGCTAATATTCTTGGGAGGGGGGAAAGAGAACCTGAACATAAAAATAGATACAAAGTATACACATGGTAGCTACAAAGCAACTGAGCTCAGAGGGAGGAACAGGCTACTAAGTGTCAGAGAGAGGATTTAACCAAGTCTTTGTGATTCCAAGGCTAGCCATGAATAAATGAATGAATGAATGAATGAATGAATGAATGAATGAATGAATGAATGAACCTTTATTAAGTACTTTGCTCTTGTTCAGTGGTTTCAGTCATATCCAACTTTTCTGACCATCTTTGGAGTTTTCTTGGCAGAGGTACTGGAGTGGTTTGTCATTTCCTTCTCTAGCTCATTTTACAGATGAGGAAACTGAGGCAAACAGGGTTAAGTGACTTGCCATGAGTCACACAAAGAGGAAGTATTAAAGGCAAGATTTGAACTCAGGTCTTCCCAACTCCAAGTCCAGTCCTAGCAGCCCATATTAAGTAATTATTATGTGCCAAACAGCGCTAAGTGCTGGGGATTCACATCTCAAATGGCGGATACCCACTACATCATGTTGCTTCTTATGTCCTTCTTACTCACTGAGCCTGGAAGTGACAAAACTAAATTTTTTATTCATTTAGATTTTTTATTATTTTAGATGGACTAAAAAAAGATTGAAAAAAAACTAGCAATAAAGTAGGTGCCCAAATATATAAGGGGAATGGCTGAATTAGCTGTAGTGTCTAAGGGTAATGGAATATCACTGAGCCTTAAAAAATGAGGAAGAGGAGGAAAACCCAGAAGGACGTATATGAGCTGATATAGAGTAAAATAAAGCAGAGTCAGGAGAATCACTTACACAGTGGTGGTAATGATATAAAATATCACCAATAGTATAATTATTATTAATACTCATTATTTCTAATAATTATTGATAATATAATTATTGCCAATGATATGATTATCATATATACTTATTTCTAATACTAATTATTAGTAATATTTATTATATATAATACTAATAATATAAGGTATTAACAAAAATGATATATAATACTTATTGATAATTATTAGTGGTGTTATTATTTCTAATATAAATTATACAATAATATGATTATTTGTGATACTTATCATTAATTATTAGCCATGCTAATTATTACTAATAATATAAATTATTACCACTGTCTATCAGTCAATCACAGGGCTATGGGGACCAACTGACAGGCCTCACTTCCCTGGGCTCCACTGCTCTGGGACTTCTCTGGACCTCTCCATTGCCTTCCTTCCCCAGAAAAACTCATGACTGAAAAATCTCATTATCCTGCACGACCAAGTGTGCTTTGTCCTCCCCGGTTCTCAGTCCCTTCTGCCCCCACTAACTGGCCCCTCTGGCTGGAGGGCAGGGTCATGGGCTCTAGGGCTTGTATTTGAAAAAGGGGCTCAGCAGAGTCTACTCCCATTTTTCACCAGCTACGGCGCTTTTGGACTTCTCTATCACCCTCTATCACGTGGGGTATCTCTGCTCCCTTCTCATTCACCTCTAGTGCCCCAACTGTTCAGCTTCCTTTTTCTCCCCCCCCCCCGCTATCTTTCTCTGCTAGATTATAAGCCCATTGAGGGCACAGACTGTCTTATTTTTTACTTATATTTTATCCCCAGGGCTTTATCACAGTGGTTGGCACATAGGTGTTTAATAAATATTGACTGACTGTCAAAAATCATTCATTAAGGACCTACTATGTGCTAAGTGCTTCAAACACTTAAACATGGGCGGTGCACTGGTGAAATAATGATGTACTTGGGTCCAGGAGATAATGAAATCCATTTCCCACTGGTCTTTCCATAAGGGGAGATGGGAGGGGGTGGGGGTAGCTGTAGGTCAGAATGCAGCATATGCTTTGAGATGCAAATGCTTTGTTTTTCTGTTAAAAAAGGATGGCTCAATAATGGGAGGCAGCATGCTGGGAAATTACTCTGCCATAAAGACAAAAGGCTAATATATTAGTAAAACCATAAAAATTTCACATTTTAAAAATAGCAAACATATGATAATTCTGTTAGTGGGGCTACAGGGAAGCCAGGCATTCGAGGACACTGGTGAGGAGAATGGTGGCTGGCACAACTATTTTGCAAGGCAATCAGGCACAGAAATGGCTCTGTTTCTAGCATTTTATTCTAAAGATATAATTTCAGAAAATGCATCACCAGATCTGGCGGCACACGCCTCTGATCCCTTTACTGGGGTGGCCGCCTCAGGTATATATCTCAAGCTCAGGAGTTCTGAGTCGCAGTGGATTAAGCTGATTCACATTTAGTTTAGAACCAACTGGGTGAGTCACTGGGATTGAGGGGGGCCACCAGCCTGACTGAGGAAGGTCAACCAGGGTTGGCAATGGAGCAGGCCAAAGCTCCCATGCCAATCAGTAATGAGATCGAGCTTGCAAGCAGCCGCTGGACTTCCAGTGGGGGCAAGGTAGGGAAACGTGATTCCCAAGGGAAAAAAAAGATCAATATCTTTTGTTTCTACATCCCCTTCATTTCCAAATATAACTTCCATACTCTACCAAGACAGCTGGCCCTTAGAACAAATTTTTTAAAAACAGAAGAAAAAAAAAGAAATTCAGTAAAAATCAACCAGTACACTAACCCTGTCTGACACTATGTGCAATATTCCATACCCAGAGTCCCCTACCTCTACAAAAAAAGGTTAGGGTTAGAGTTAAAAAAGCAGGGTATTAAATATATAATTTTTAAAGGGGGACTATCTGAACGAAAATATTCAAAGCTGTTTTATTTGTGTCAGCAAAAACTAAACAGAGCTGACCTGTCTTTCAAGGATTAGAGAATGGTGGAATAAACTGGTTTATTAATATAATGTCATAAGATGGTGCCATAAAAGTAACACATGAAGAACACAAGGAAACATGGGGAAGACTAAATGAAGTCAGACCCATGGAGAACAGCAGGACCACACTGACCACGGAACTGAAAAAGCCGTGATTGAGAACGGCAGATGAGAGGCAGCTAGGTGGTGCAGTGGATAGAGCACCGGCCCTGAAGTCAGAAGGACCTGAGTTTAAATCCGGCCTCAGACCAAACACTTCACACTTACTAGCTGTGTGACCCTGGGCAAGTCACTTAACCCCAATTGCCTAAAGAGAGAGAGAGAGAGAGACAGAGAGAGAAAGAGAGAGAGAGAGAGAGAGAGAGAGAGAGAGAGAGAGAGAGAGAGAGAGAGAGAGAGAGAGAGAATGGCAGATGAAAGGGGGATGGGTATGTCACAAACTCCTCTTTTTGGTGTGAGGCCTGCCTGTTCCATAGGCTGAGATGAACAATGTGTGTGGTTGGGGCCACCATCTGCATCAGTGGAGGCAATGCCCACATTAATGAGCTCACAGGGCCAATGATGTATTGTTGATTTGTCTAAAACTACTGAGTTGGACGTGCCCTTTGACCCAGACAGAATACCAACACCAGGCATACACCCCCAAAGGGATCAAAACAAAAAGGAAAGGGACCATAACATACAAAGATACCTAGAACACCTCTTTTCAGAGTGGCAAAAATAAATAAATAAAATGAATGAATAAATGAAAAGATAGATAGATAAATAGACAGAACTAGAGGAGTGGTTATCCTATTGGAGTATGGCTACACACACACTTAAAGTATATTAATATATTATAACATGTGTGTGATATATATGTATGCACACATATATATACTCATACAAATCAAAGTATAGGAATATAACACATGTAGGATATTATCTCTATATACTGTGGTATATGAATATAATATACCATGTATAGTATATCAAATTCTATTTCCATATATATGAAAGTATATAGGTATACAAATTATGCTATATGAATACATCATATACAATATGCCAAATTCTGTTTCTACATATATCAAATCATATGTGTATATATACAAATTATGCTATACAAAGATAATATATCATGTAGAGTATAGCACATCAAATTATATTTCTATATATCAAATTATATATAAATATAAATTATGCTATATGAAGATAATACCATGTAGAGTATATCAAATCCTACTTAAGTTATCTGGTTACAGATAAATTATGCTATATGAATATATCATATGTAACATAATATGCCTAATTATATTTCTACATTATCAAATTATATGTGTATATATACAAATTATGCCATATGAATATATCATATTCAGCATAATATGCCAAGTTCTATTTCTATATATATCAGATCATATGTGTATATATGTATATACAAATTATACTATATGAAGATAATATACCATGTAGAGTATAGTATATAAAATTCTATTTCTACATATATCAAATTATATATGTATATATACAAATTGCGCTATATGAAGATAATGTATCACATGTGGCATAATATGACAAATTCTATTTCTATATATATCAAATTACATTCATTTACTATATGTGATATATGAGTCTTAGAATATGGAGCATGAATTTTTAATTTAGTCGCCACATATACGTGGTTCTGGTGCTGCGGCTCTTAAGTGGTATGAATTCATTTAAGTATTTTCTATATTTCTTTATCCTACATGGGGTATATGAATATAACATACCATGTCAATAATATATTATTGCTCCATAAGAAGTGACAAAGTGGACAGTTTCAGAGGAAACTGGGAAGATCTCTATAAACTGACTCAGAGAGAAGCAAGAAGAACCAGGAGAATAATGCATCTATTGACACCAGCACTCCTTGTTTGGGGCTACTTTGTTAAACATTAAGGGTTTTACACAAAGTCTTATTCCTTATCTTGCACGTTTATTTGAAAGCAAGCAGCATGAAATAGAGATTCACAGAATCTTTCTGTGTTCTGATTTGTTTATAGAAATGCTTTTTTTCGGGTGTTTAAGTCCAGAATTTTTAATTACATTTGTTCAGCTCTTCTATGGATCGTTTTTAAGTCTATGATTAAAAAATTGTTTTAAAGAGCTGAAATTGGCCTCCCCCCAAATACCAATAAAGCTAACTGTATCAGGCTAACCACCTAGACTGATTTCACAAGAGAGGGTGTGCAATGTGGCTTCCACACATTGAGCTGCAGGCTCAGTCTGGAGCCTTCTCATCAGAGGGGCGGTGACCAGAGAATGGCTTTTTTGGCTACAAAAACTCATGAAACTGTCTATGCAGGCCTGCAGTAACTGTGATCTACATTGGTAAAGAGAAGGCCCACAATGGGGAAATTACAGTCCCTGAAGGACTGAACTCTGTACTATCTTATGGACAACAAAGCACTTTCCTGAGGGATAGGGTCAGAGAACCCAGTTTCCAAACCTGCCTCAGCCACTTAAGTCCCTCAGTGACCTAAGGCAAGTCACTTCCAATCCCTAGGCCTTATCTTTAATGTGATTGGGTTAAACTAAATGATGTCCAAAGTTCCAATGCTATAGGCATTGTGGCTTCGATTTCCTGTAAAATGAAGGAATTGGTCTTAACAACCTCTGTGGTCCCTAAGTTCCAATCTTCTTTCAGAATTTGCTTTGGAATCTCAAGGCATTTTATTTTATGATACCTTGAGTCCTGAACCACTCTGGACCACAGTTTTCAGATCTGAAGTACTCTGCTTGGCTAAGAGAACTATATAAATGGCAGCTGCTAATGCTATCCTTATTATCACTACTACTACTGAGAAGCAGTGTGACAAACAGTGCATAGAGAGCCAACTTCAGAGTCAAAAGACCTGGGTTCAAGTCCCATTATCAGCTGGGTGACCCTCTGGTAAGTTGCTTGAGCACTCAAGGCCCTAAGCAAGTCTCTCAGGCTTTAAGTTGAAGATTGAATGATGACCTCCTACACTGATGAAATCAGAAATTTGGAACAGTAACATTGTTGCTGCTTTTGCTGCCGGTAGGACCCATTTCATTTTCTAGTGTCTCTCATGTGAAACCACCAGGAAAAACCTCTGGTTACTTCATTTCCTGCCTGGACCATCACTCTGGGCAATGCAACTCAAAGACACTCAAAAGTCTCACCAGAGGGGGAAAAAATGTACCAACATTAATTGGTCCCAGAGAAGGACCTAGGCCAGTTTCCCCATTACTGTGAGTCTGACAAGCAGGAAAGGTGCGCCATGGGAAGGACTTCATTTGGGTTCAAAAGTCCAAAGTCTGGAGATGCTTTCCCTCTCTTAATTATTTCTAGTTTACTATGCACACAGCTCCTTTATTTATGTTTGTTTGCACGCTGTCTCCCTCGTTAGACTGCAAGTGCCTTGAGGGCAGGGGCTGTCTTTTGACCATTTTGCATCCCTAAGGCTTAGCACAGTACCCAGCACACAGTAGGAGCTTAATAAATATTTACTGATTGACAGTTGTTTGTTATGCTCTCTCCCCCATTAGACTATGAGCTCCATGACAGCAGGAACTGTATATGGCCTCTTAGGCGCTTAGCACGGTGCCTGGCGCATAGTAGGTGCTTAATGTTGACTGACTGAAGGGGCTACTATTGTTTGTACAGATAGTGTTGTTGGGCAAGGGGGAATAATTCAAGCGAGGCCATCTCTGTGTTTGGCCTCGCAGAGCACTCAGTGAGGAGCCTGAGGACCTACATTTACTAGCTAGGTGACCTCCCTCTCTCTGGACCCCAGTTTCCTCCTATGACACGCGAGTGGGCTTTGGCCTAGGGATCTCTCTCTACCCACTGGAGGCCCAAGGGGACCAAGGCTGGCGCCTTCTCCGTTTGCTTACAGGCTGGAGAGCTGGATTTGCTTGAGGAGTCGCTCGTGAAACTCTGCCGGGAACACTCGTAGTCACTGAGGGAAGCCGCACTCTCTGATATCCTCGAAGAGTCCGAGTCACTCGTGGGGTCATCACTCACCGAGCGCTTCTCATCATTAAAGGGCATTTTGTTTCACTGTCTTAGGGTACACGGAGACACCTGCACAGACAAACAAATCAGTTTTGGGGGGCATAGGGAGTGAATAATAGAATAGAGTCTAGCAAAGCTTGATGGCTGGAGAGCCCAAGGCTGCAAGGGACCTCAGAAAGATCGCTGAGCCCACCACCCTTGCCCCAAGACAGAGCTACAGAGTTTTGGACCTGGAGTCAGGAGGATCTGAGTTCAAATCTACCTGTGTGACCCAGGCTAAGAGGGTTAAGCTCTCTGTGACTCAGTTTCCTGAGGGGTTAGACTCAATGGTCCCCTCTAAAAGTCCCTTCTAGTTGTAAATCCATAATCCTGTTGTTCAGTCATTTTCAGTTGTGTCCAACTCTTTGTGACCCCATTTGGGGTTTTCTTGGCAGATACTGGAGAGGTTTGCCATCTCCTTCTCCAGCTCATTCTATAAATGAGGAAACTGAAGCAAACAAGGTGAAGTGACTTGTCCAGGGTCACACTGCTACTAAGCATCTGAGTTTACCATTTCTTTCTCTGGCTCACATTGCAGATGAGGAAACTGAGGCAAACAGGGTTAAGTGACTTGCCCAGGGTCACACAGCCAGGAAGCATCTGAGATCACATTTGAACTCAGGTCTTCCTGACTCCAGGCCCAGTGCCCTATCCACTACACCACCTATATTAAAGCAAATGGGGCCCTTCTATTTTGAAAGATTTCTAGGAAGGAGAGATTTCTCAACTGACCAGTCAATGTGCTTAGGGACAGCGTTCTACTACAGAGTTGAGCAACCCACATGAACGTCCACGGGCATTGTAACAAGAACAGCCACAACAGTAACAACTCCCATTTATACAGCACTTTTAAGTTTGCAAAGGGATCATACCTTATCTCATCTGATCCTTGCAATCAATATCCCGGGGATGTGGGGGCTATTCTTTTTTTTTTTGCTTTTTGGTAAGGCAATCAGGGTTAAGTGTCTTGCCTAGGGTCACTCAGCTAGTAAGTGTCAAGTGTCTGAGGTCGGATTTGAACTCAGGTCCTCCTGACTCCAAGGCTGGACCTCTATCCACTGTGCCACCTAGCTGCCCCTAGTGGGGGCTATTCTTCGCCCCATTTTGCAGATGAGGAAACTGAGGTTTAGTGACTTGTCCAGGATCACAAAAGCAGTGAGTATCTGAGGCAAGAGTGAAACTCAGGCCTTCCTGACACTAGGCTGCCTTCACCCAATAAACAATAGCCAGCCCTTCATGAAGAAAACAAACACCAGGGCCTTCCCTAGCAGTTCCACTGCTCAGGAGAAGCCCCAGAAATGTAACCCTCAAATCAAGGCTCTGAGATATTCACTTGAGGGTCATGATACCTCAGGCCTCAGGACACAAGCAGACAGTGTAGTGTGACAGAAAGACCATTGAAATTAGACTCACAGGACCGGAGTTCAAATCCAGCCCCTGTGACTGTTTCCTCATCTGTAAATGAGGGCATTGGAGTAGATGGCCTTTGAGGCTCTGGTTTTATGAAGAGGCCCCGTGGAGCATAGTAGACACAAACCCCCCTACGCTGGCCAACCGGAGAAGATGGCAAATCTTCCCCCAGGGAGACCACTGCTGGGCGGGGCCAGTCAATGAATCAGCCCAGTTGGGTGGGGCCACAAGAGGGAGGGAGAAAGTGAACCATCTGGCAGCTACCGATTTGAACTCATTATTCTTACTAACCAAATGCTCAAAAGCTCAGCTGTTTCTATTGGATAAAGACGTGCAGTTAGAGCCCTCTGAATTCCCTTGCCCTGGGGCTAAGTCTCAGTTTTATTGTGTAGTAAACGAAATATTATCATTTTAATTAACATTCATCCCCGGACACAGTCAGGATGGGGTGTTTAAACCTCTGGTTGGCAGTTTATAATTCCAGGCTTTGTCTGCCATCTTGGTAGAAACTCATACAGAACAGTGGAAAGAAGACTGCATGTGGAGAGCCAGAAGACCTCAACTTGAGTCCCAAGTCTACCCTCCCTTGGGGGTAGACTCAGGGTACTACACTAGAGCCTCAGTTTCCTCATCTGTAAAAAAGGAGAGAGAGGGCTGTGTGCTGTGGCAGAGCTCCGAACTTGAAATCCAAAGACCTGGGTTCAAATCTTGGCTCTGTTCTTACCAAAGTAACCTCAAACAAATTTCCATTTCTGAGTCTCAGTACTAGATGATCCTCCAGGTCCCTCTCCCATCCAGTTCTAAATCTTGTTATCCTTTGACCTTCTGATATGATCTGTCAAATAGGAATGCTCCAGAGAGTTCCCAGTGCCGATGACTCAACGTCTCAGAGTTGCAAAGGACCTCAGGGGAGGGCCTCGTCCAATTTCCATCTGAATGGGCATCTCTCGACAAGACCCCTGAGAAGTGGTCCCCCCACCTCTGCCTAAAATGCCCTAACAGGGGGAAGCCAACACTTCCCTGTGTGGCCCATCCCACAACCTTCAAACGGCTGAATTTTATCATTAGGAAATTTCCCCCCATGATATCCAGCTTAAATTTACCTCTTTGTTCCTTCCACCCTCTGAGGCCAAGCAGAATGAGCCTAATCCTTCTTCCAGAAGACAGCTCTTCAAATGCTTGGAGTGGCCCGGTAAGATCCCTAAGACCTGCCATCTACAGGCTAAGCACCACAGTCCTTCCAAGGAGCCTTATTCAGCATGAATCATCATGGTCAGAACAGAACCCAGTGTTCCAATGTGCTCTGACCAGGACAGAATGCAGCAGGACAATGACCTCCCTCACCCCTGGCCTCTGTGGTTTCCTTAACAGGGCCGAGGATTGGCTACCTTGTCATACTGTCCACTCGGGCTTTGATCCAAGAATGACCCCTGATCTTTGCCAGACAAAACTGCCATCCACTCACACCTCGCCCCAAGTCCCACATGTGACATCCGTCATTAATGGATGTCATTATTTTGTTCTGTTCGATGTCCCAAGCCTGTCAAGCCATTTGAATCCTGACCACGCAATCTTAGCTACGTCACTGCTGTTCAGTCGTTTCAGGCACGTCCAACTCTTTGTGATCCCATTTGGGGTTTTCTTGGCAAAGATACTGGTTTGCCATTTCATGATGGGCGATTCCTTCATGGGATGTGAAGCTCCCTACTGCTAATGTCCTAGCTACCTGGCATTTTTTCTGTATCTTCTTATATCATATTATATCATACACACACACACACATATATACACATTACATATAAACATTATATTATATTATATTATTACATTGGCTTAGCATGTACACTCCGTGAGGGCAGGCACTATCTCCCTTTTTTGTTTGCTTTGCATCCCCAGTGCTGGGCATACAGCCGGCAGTGAGCAGGTCCTTGTTTATTGACTCATGGCGGATGTTTAATGAATGCTCGCTGAATTGGGTTACTATTATTATCTGGCCTCTGAGTCACAGAGATCTAGGTTTACATGCTGCCTATGACACAGTCTGGCTGTATAATCTGAGGCAAGGCCTTTTTCTCTCAGTGCCGCAGCTCTCTGAGACCAGAAGTTGCACAGAAGGTGGCAATCTGCACAGGTAGAGGGGGTTTCCTTATCTGGGAGGTCCCCTATCCCAGTGGAAGCACAGGGCCAACTCCTCTCCCGAATACTAATGATAAGCAAAACTTAAGAAAAGCCTCTAGGAAGGGGGGCTCTGAAAGGACACAGGGGTGCTTGGGAAAGAAGCTTTCACTGGTTCAGGGGAGGAGGAAGTGGGTGGGCACTGACAGCGGTTCAAGAAAGGAAAAAGAGCTTCTTAAAAACCCAGAAGAGAACAGAATAAGGTCATAAGGGGACACGGGCAAGCAGGCCAGCATGGGAACTCCCTGCTGTGTTAGATTTCATGTATTTTTCTCCCTTTCATCTTCTAAAAAATTATTTATTCTTACAGGCATTTATTATCTCTCCCTCCTACTGCCTGCCAACGAACAATCAGAACAATAAAGAGAAACTCTCACAACAAATATGTATAGGCTAGCAGAAGAGATTCCCATAAACGAGATATTTGTAAGCATTTAGCACAGGGATTAGAACCCAGTAAGTGCTTAATAAATGCTCATGTACACATATACACACATAGGCCAATTAATATGTACTTTTTTGTAAAGCTAGATGTAATAGATACCAACTTTTTCTCTTCTTTGTATGTTGAAATGTTGTCTTTTGATGTTTGCTAAGATTGTCTTTAAAAAAATAAACTTTATGGTGGGGGGGGGCTGAGACAGGAAGAAGGGGAGGGGAGGAGTCAAGGTCAGATGTGTGGGAGAAATCCCAAGGGAAGAGAGATCTGAACTGAGCAACATGAGTGGTCTGCGACGGAGGATGAAGAGCTTGGGCCAGCTCCGCACCCCAAGCTGGAGGGACAGAGAAAAGAAGCAGGATTGCCAATGGGGACGGCCATTGAGTTGCTGTGGGAAGCATCTATGCCATTAAAGGAGGGGCATGGAGTTGTGGTATATGGGAACCAAAAGACACATAACCTCTGAGGGCAATACAGCAGACAGTCAACAACCATTCACCCAGTGTTTACTATACACCTAGCACTGACTAAGACCCGGGAGTATAAGGAAAGGAAAAACATGGCGGCACCAGGAAAACTCATTTGGTCCTTTTCAAACTCTCAGAATTGGAAGGACTCCCAGAAGCCAACTGGTCCAATCCGTATCAAATCAAGAAGCCCCTCCTATAATGTCATCCCAAGGCAGCCTGTCCTATTTTCAGACACCTCCAGCTGTTCAGTCACTGTTGAGTCACGTCCGACTGTTCATGACCCCAGCTGGGGTTTTCTTGGCAGAGATACTGGAATAGTTTGCCATTTCCTTTTCCAGCTTATTTTACAGATGAGGAAACTGAGGTAAACAAGGTTAAGTGACTTGACCAGGGTCACACAGCTAAGAAGTGTCTGAGGCCAGATTTGAACTCAGGAAGATGAGTCTTCTTGACTCCAGGTCTGGGACTCTACCCACTATGGCGCCACCCAGCTGTCCTTGTGTGTGGTATGAATATCATAAATCATGACAGTCATTCATAGGCTCACGGATCCAAGACTGGATGGGACCTCAGAGGTCAGTTACTCTAACCCCTGCACTTTGCAGATGAGGAAACTGAGGTTCAGGAAGGAGCACAGATCTACAGCTGGAAGCGCCATCTAGACCAACCCCTCATTTTACAGATGAGAAAGCGGAGAACTGGCAAGGTTAGAGAGTCTGCCCAAGGTCACAAAGAGAGTAAGTATTGGAGACACTGAACTCCTTTAAATCTAAACCAACTGCCTTTTACATCCCCCATGGACCACTGGAGCTCAACTGCAAAGGAAGGTGAAAAGCCAATGATTCTTCTCATTACAGTCATAGACTTCCTCATCTGTAAAATGGGAGTAACAATGGCTTCTACCTCACAGTGTCAGGGTGAGATCAAACGGGATGACAGACGGGAGTACTTTGCAAACTCTGAAACACTATGTAAATGCTAGCTATTATTCTTACCCACTGGGACCTAGCAATTCTCCTCCAAGTCTTCGATCATCAATCTGTTGGCCTAGTTTCAATCAAAACACATTTCCTAATGACTGTAACAAATACTTCCAAGGTTGTGACTCCAATTCCACAAGCTAAGGTTCTGTTTTCCGACAAACTCTGGGTTCTAGAATAAGAGACTTCACTCCAGTATCCGAGTTTCTCGGCCTGTGGGAATTTTTTTCTTTTGACACTTTTATATTCAATTTTTTTTATTGGACAAGTCCTATGATTTCACCGGCATAAGGAATTCCCAATGTAGAAACTCCCTCTGCCAATGCAGATCAGCATTGGCTCTGTAACTGAGGTGATGTTACTTGTCCAAGGTTACGCAGCCTGGCTTAAACTAAGGTCTTGCTGCCTCTAGGGTCAGCTCTCTATCTTCTACCCCATGCTGCCTCTTAGGAAAGATCAGAAAGTTTGCTTCTAAAAATATTATTTTCCCCCTGCACAATCCAATGGATTACCCACAATTTTGATTCTTCTGAGACTATGATGTTCCATGATTCCAAGCTAGTAGAACATCACTAGGAGAATACTGGCCTTTTCCAGGGAACAGCATGGAGTAACTTGCCCTCACTATAAGCCCTGTATCATTTCCCAGATACTTCCCAGCTTCCTCTTCTGCTTATTCAGATGACCCTTTGTCCATCTGTAGTGTTGGACTAAATCAACGGATGGCCCATTAGATGCCTTTTAGATACACTTTACATCAAGTGTCTGTCCAAGCACACCTAAACCCTAGATCCAGAGCTGAAAGGGACCTCAGAGGTCACCTAGGCCAACACCATTACTTTACAGATGTGGAAACAGAGCTTCATGCTGAAAGGCTGTCTAAGATAGTTCATTTTCTTTATGGATGATAGAGAATCACTTCTGAACAATCCACCTATTACTACTCGGGATATCCCATTTTTACTTATAAAGTACTATCACACAACTGAAAATTTGCTTAAGTACTTTGCATAAGATACCATTAAGGTCATCTGTTTTATCACGGTACCCTAAGAACCACAGGGCCTTTCCATGTGACTTGTAGCTAAAACTTCTTCTATATACTGACTCTATTAGAATGTGAGCTCCCTACCCTGTTGCCTCCAGGATCAAATTTGGCATTCAAAACTCTTCATAACCAAGCTCCCTCCTACCTTTCCAAGTCTTCTTAGACCTTCCTCCTCAACACATGTTTTTGGATCCAGCAACACCAGCCTCCTGGCTGGTCCATGGACAACTCCTTCTCTTGGCTCTGGGCATTCTCTCTGGCTGTCCATCATGCCTGGAACACTCTCCCTCCTTTGCTCCAATACTGACCTCCCTGGCTTCCTTTATGCGCCAATTAAAATCCCATCTTTTACTGGAAGCCTTCCCCAACTCCTCTTAATTCCTCTCTCAATGATTGCTTATTTATCCTGTACCTCACTTGCTTCCTATATATTTGTTTATACTAATATTCATAATTAATTATAATTAATACTATAATTATATTATTAATAATATATGACTATATATTTGTTTGCATGTTGTCTTCCTAATTAAACTGTGAACTCCTTGAAGGCAGGGACTAATCTTTTGCCTTTCTGTATCCCCAGCACTTAACACAGTGCCTGACACAGAGCAGGTGCTTAATACGTTCTTATTCATTCATTTACTCTTAACCCATTTGTTTTTTCCTGAACTGATTACTCAACCTTGTCCCCAGCCCTTCTCAGTTATGTACAACTCTTGAGAAAACGACAGATTTATCACCAGGTAGACTGACTAGAAGGAAACTTAAAGATGTCACCAATGTCAACCCCTTCATTTCACCTCTGAGGAAACTGAGGCTCAAAAATGGGACATGACCTACCCAAACTGATACAGTTAGAGAGTTGCCAAACTCATGGCATCAAGTATCTTGAGCTGGAAGAGACCTCAGAGGCATCTAATTCAATACCCTCATTTTACAGACGGGGAAACTAAGGCCCAGAAAAGCTAAGCTATTTCATAGTATCACAGACTTAGAGCTGGAAGAAGCCTCAGAGGCATCTAGTTCAACCCCCTCATCTTACAAAAAAGGAACTAGAGATCTAGGGAGAAGGTGATATCGTAGTTAGCAGTAGAGTCAAGATTTGAAACCAGGTCCTCTGACCCAGAACCAGCAATCTTTCTAGTAACACTACCTCACATACTCCAGATTCAATGTTCCTTCTACTGTACCACCAACCAATCTTTCCCCTCCAAGTAGATCCAGCCTTAGTCTCTCCTACAGACAGAAGTCCCATCCTAAAATCTTGGTTTTGTAAAAATCAAAACCAAACATCAACAGCAGGCATTCTGGTTTCTATCACATCCCACTGCACCTTTGTCGACTTCAGAGTAAACGGGGGCTAGCTGGAAGGCTTTCTTAAGGGTTTTGGAAACCCCCCCCCCCCAAGAGAATTTGGAGACTTTTTAAAAGTCTGTTTCATTGGTGCAAAGCATGTTTTTCTGAGTGATAAGGCCTGGTACACACAGATTACCTTCACTGTATGTACAGCTGGAGACAAGATGGTGCCGTGGGAAGAGTCTGAGAGTCAGAGTTAGAGGCCCGGGCTTAGAGCCCAGCCCTGCTATTCACTTCCCTAGCTGCTTTCCCTCTATGGACCAAAGTGTCATCCCCTGAAAAAAAAAAAAGACAAGGTTGTACTGAGTGACCCCTGAGTGTCACCTTCAAGCTCTAAGACTAAGAATCTATTCCCCTCCGGGTTTCACGGTGACCTCCAAAGTCCTTGCTACTCTAGAACTCTGGGCCCATGGTGAGACCTCTGTGATCTTGACCAAGTCAAGAGACTATAAAATGTAGGGGCGGGACTAGACGACCTGGAAGGTCAGTATGAGGAGACTGGGACTCAGTACAGCTACTGCTTAGAGGGAAGGTCTCAGGGTCATTAATGAGCCAGGAAATCACCTCAAGCAACGTACTAGACCAGATCACCGGTCAAAGGGAAGGAAAAGCTATTACAGAAATATTCCGGGGCGAGGGGGGAGAAGGGGGGTCTCCTCTCTCTGACACTAAATCTAGAATTACAACACTGTCCCTTTGGTTCAGCCCAGTACGATCCTTCACCATCTTAAAGGTCAAGGAATGGATGTGGACATTTGATGGAGCACTTCCTGATGACCCAAACCAGCAGGACTTTGACCTTGAAAGTTAATGATTCCCCATGCATCGTGGAGGCTGATGAATATTACAGCCTAATTTCATTTCTGCAGGGAGAACTAACTTCAAACGCTTAGACCCAGCTTGTGAATGAAGAGCATCTTGAAAAGTAAAACATCCTCAGCCTTTCAGGCCAAAGAAGGGTGAAATGTGGCCAGACCTCCTATAGTAATCATTATTGGATTCTTATAAGTAAGAGGCCCTGCTCTAACTCCTCGTAGCCCAGCTCCCTGTGGGTGACCAAAGGGTTACTCTGCTTAAATCTCAGAATCTCAGCATTGGAAGGCTCTTGAGAAGTATTTAACCTACATATGACAGAAAAGGAAAATGATATATATTGGAGAATTTGTGGGAAAATTGGGACACTAATGCATTGTTGGTAGAGTTGTAAACTGATCCAACCATTCTGGAGAGCAATTTGTAACGATGGCCAAAGGGCTATCAAACTTTACCTAAATACTCTTTGATCCAGCAATACCACTTTGAGGTCTGTATCCCAAAGAGATCATAAAAAAGCCTAACCCACAGCATAAAGGAGATCCCCTTCTTCATGGAACACAATCCCCAAAGGGTCATTCAGTCATTCTTTCCTTCCTTCTTTTGAGAATTAAAAAGAAAGGGCTGAGAGGAATCAGTTCAGCAAAATTAGCCAACAGATCAAACCAGATCTGACATTATACAGTGCTCCACACCCACCATCCTCCAGCCCTACAAAGAAGGGAGGGAATTCACATTCTCATATTTCTTCAAGGGGTCAAGATTATTCATCATAATCAATCCGGCAACAAGCATTTATTATTAAGCACTAATAGCTATGTTACGTGCGGAGAGGATATGAAGACAGAAACCAACCCCCCCTTCCAATCTCACTTGGAGATCTACAGTAAAGGGCACCTCATTAATTCTCCAGGTACCCCATTCTACTCAACTTGAAGTGGTTTTTCCTTGCAACAGGAAATTCCTTGAGAGTAGAGATTGTTTCAGTTTTTTTTCTTTGTCTCATTCCCAGGAGATGTTTCTATCTCTTCCTCCCCACGTTGCTACCTCCTAGAAAGTGCCGGCCAAAGTAGTCAATTAATAAATTATTGTTAATTGAGTATAATGACCGAGCTTGACCCCCAAAAAAGAAATAGGAGAATATATCTCCATCTCTCTCTCTTTTTTTTTTCACAAGCTGCGGATTACAGATGTGGAACACAGCACAAATGTCAGATTTCTTTGACCTGTTGGTTAGTTTTGCTGAACACATTCACTCACACCCCCTTTCTTTTTTATTCTTTTGTTTTGTTTTTTTGGGTTTTTTTTCAGTGAGGCAATCAGGATTAAGTGACTTGCCCAAGGTCACACAGCTAGTACATGTCAAGTGTTTGGTCTGAGGCCAGATTTGAACTCAGGTCCTCCTGACTTCAGGGCTAGTGCTCTATCCACTGCGCCACCCAGCTGCCCCCTTTTTTATTCTTTATTATAAGAGACAGCTCTTTTTTGGGAGGGATGCTGTTACATTCAGGGATACATTCAGAAATTAAGATGACGTAGACCAAAATGTAACAATAAAATTAAATTAAAAAAAAAACCAACCGCTCTTTACTTTAAGCCTCGATGTATCTCCATGCACCGACTTGCACCCATTGGCCCTTGGGGCCATACATAAGGAGCTAAACTAAAACCTCTTCCACATGACAGTTCTTCCTAGAACCCTGCTACAGTTGGGTGTTCCTGAAATCATCTCTTTTCCAGTTTTTTTAGTTCAATCAAGCTGCTCTGGCCCGGTTGCCCTTCCCTGGAGACCCTCCAACTTCTCACGGTTCCGTTTTGACCCGCTGCTGAAAACCTGGGCATCAAACGTGGCAACACGTAGCCCAGCACTGCACTGCAAGATGACATCAAACAAACATGCCAGGACCAACTCCTCTGACACAGTTGAGAGAAGGAAACAGGAAACAAGCCAGTGGCCGACTAGAGAAGCCAAACAATTAGTCCATTTAGGAACCCTCCCTGAGAGATGATGCAATCCTGGGATCAGGACTCTGGAGTTGGAATTCAAAGGTCTTCCAGTCCAGACCCTTCATTTTACAGATGAAAGCACTGCTCAACCCAAAGGGGAAGTGACTTACCCAAGGTCACATGGATAATTACTCTTTTAAGTCACACTTTTCAGTATCCAGTTAAAATGCAAATATCCTAGCTCTTATCAGTCTTTAACACCTTGTAGTAAACTGGCTATTTAGTTTGCCCCGAAGGACCTGGGAAACCAGACACAGTCTGAATAAGTTTGGAAGAAAGGAGGGGGAGAAAGACAAAAGACATGACCCCGAAGGCTAAAGACAGGCATTATTGGGACACTAACGACCTTGGGGCAGGTCACTTCACAAGATCTTAAGATTTAGAAGTGAAAAGGACTCTTGGACTCATCCAGTCTCACCCTTCCCTCACCTCATTTTACAGAGGAAGAAACTGAGGCTGATGAAGTGATTTCTACAAGGTCATATGGCTAGCAAACAGCAGAACTGAGAAAGTGGGCCTAGAGCCCACCTCCAAGACCTGTTCAGCAACTTCTCTCTCCTCCAAACATAAGCCAAACGGTCAGAGGCAGGGTTATCTAGAAGAGGCTTTTTGTGACATGGGTCATGCCTGGGATTAGATCATGAAAAGACCTGGACACTTGGGGACAGCCAGGGGATGGGTGCTGAAAGGAGAGAAACCTCTCTTCCTTCTGTGTGCAGTCCAGCCCAATGTAATAGTGGCCCCGGTGAGCTAAAACCTGGCAGAAGGAGACGATCACTCAGCAGGGATTCTCTGTCACAGAAGATCATATTTGTGTAATTCAATAAACATTTATCAAGTGTCTACTATGTGCCAGGCACTGTGCTAATCGCTGGCATCCAGTAACAGGGTGTGTATGTGGTGTGTGTGTGTGTGTGTGTGTGTGTGTGTGTGTGTGTCTGTGTCTGTGTGTGTTTAGACAAAACAGGCATTGATTAGCAATCAAACATTCACAGCGTCTACAGAAGTCTCCCATCAAGGAGGTCAATTTCTAGAAAGCCAGACCACATGAAAAACTCCAACCTAACATTCCGTCCCAACTTCGCTTTATTTATCTAACACTTGTCCACTACAATCCCTTTTTCCAAGGTTAACCACAAACACGGAGATTTACTTCTCGTTGGCCTATTCTGAGCTGCTGAAACTCCTAATGGGGGACCCACCAATTTAATGAATTAGCTGCAAGAGTAATTCTTGGGGCAACCAGGTAGCACAGAGGATAGAGCATGCAGGCCAGGAGTCAGGAAGACCTGAGTTCAAATCCAGCCTCAGACACTTACTAGCTATGTGACCCTGGGCAAGTCACTTCACCCTGTTTGCCTCAGTTTCCTCATCTGTAAAATGAGCTAGAGAAGGAAATGGCAAACCACTCCAGGATCTTTGCCAAGAAAACTCCAATTGGGGTCACAAAGAGTGAGACATGACTGAACAAAAAGTAATTCTTACAAGAGAGAGGAAAGAGTAGGCAGGTATTGAAAACTAGTATCGGATCCAAAGGATGTTATTATTCTAAAATCATGAGATTTAGGGCTAGAAGGGCCTCCAGAGATTATCTAGTCCAATCCCCTCGGTTTACAAAAGAAACTGAGGCTTTAATACTCACAGGATTTAGAACCAGATGGGACCTCAGGGACCATCTAGTACTGCAATATTTATTTTACAGAAGAAACTGAGGCCCAGGCAGAGAAGTTAAGTCACTAACTCCCTCAAGGTAATACTGCTAGTATGGGGAAGCAGCAGAATTCAAACCCAGATCCTCCGACTCCAAACACCATCCTCTTAATTAACACATAGAAAAACGCAGCCTCTCAGAACTCTGGAAACCAGGGGTTTCCAGCTGGGGACTCAGGCTGTGGTATTTCTCTGGTTTCTCTTCCTCGAAGCGTGCCAAGTCGCTTGGGGGACTGCTTAGAACCTCTTTAAGGGAAAGAAGGGGTAAGTAAGGGACAAGCAGAGAGCACCGGATCTCTCTCCCTGCAATTAGGCAGGTGCAAGAAACCGCAGCCCTCCCTTCGTTCTGGGTCCCATCCCCTTTCCTCAAGAGGTAGCTATTACTGCCTCATTACAGACCTCCCATGCAATTTCAGAACTCATAGGAGGGCCATAGGATGATGTGCTGGAAAACACACTGGGTTTCGAGACCTGGGTTCCAATCTCGACCCTGCTTGAACTCTTTGTAAAATGAGGAGGTGGCCTTAAATGACCGCTGAGGTTCCTTCCAGTTCTGCCAACCCGGGGCTCCGGTCTCCTGCTCTCCCCTCCCGTCCCGTCCCGTCCAGTCCCCTCCCCTCCAGCAAGCGGCACGTTACCTGTCAAAACAAAACCGAGGGAGGAGGGGAACCAGGAGGAGGAGGCGGCGTCTCCTCGAAAACCCAGGCAACCAACCCAAAACAGAGACATCGATCTCCTACAACCCACATCCTTCTCCCACAAAGCCCAGGCTCCGGCTCCTGGGGGCACAGCTAGGCAGCAGAGAGACTCGAGAAAGAAGGGGGTTGAGTGGGTGACTAGTGGCCCCTGCCCAGCCCTGGTGGGGGGGGGGGATTGTCAGGAAGGAAGGAGGGTGAGTGGACAGGTCAGGAGCGCGGTAGGGGGCAGAAAGGCAAGTGCCCCCTGCCCATTCTAGGGAGCACGGGGAGGGGGTCGACAAGTGCTCCCCCCCCCCGCCCCTAGTCCTGCCCTTCCCTCCTCCTCGAGGAGTATTTTTGGAAGCTGGTTCGGAGCGCACACGCTGGCACCTGCCCAGCACAGACGTAAACAAGCCCCGGCACTAGGGCTCCCACCCGGGACGGGGGATGCCAGCTAATCCCGGGCCGCCGACCAGTCTCACTCTCCCCTTCCCCGCCGCGCTCCCACGCGGGACGGCGGTTCGGGGACAAACAAGCGAGAGACGCACCGGAGGGGTCACCGGGAACGAAACGGGGGCTGCCTCCCTCCCCGTCCCCGAAATAAAGTCAGGGCTGAAGTGGGGGGCTCGGGATCCCCGTGGATCTGGGGGGGCCGGGACGAGGAGGAGTCTGTACCCCACACCAACCTCGGGGCAGAATGGCTCTCCGTCCCCAACGCGCGTAGTCGTGGGCTACCCACCGAGCCGGGCGTGGAGAGAGGCAGCCCCTCTTCCCGTCCTGTCCTGTCCCGTCCCGTCCTGTCCTGTCCGTGCGAGTCCGTGCCCAGGCTCGGTTCCGCTCGGCTCGGCTCCGCCGCTAGCCCTCCGGACAGCCCTCCCACAGCGCCGCTCGCCAACCCCCTTCGCCCTCCCCCCCCCGGCCCCACGCGGTATTTAAAGGGCCCAGAGGGACAGCGCAGCCAGCCAAGGCGTGGCCCATAACGCCCGGCCAGCGGGGGGGAGTGCGGACCCGGCTCGCCCCATCCCGCGGCCCGCCCGCCCCTGGCAGATGCCGCGTGAGGCCTGAGAGGCGCTGCCAAGAAGATGCACCCACGAGGACGGCGCGGGGCCAAAGCGTAGGGACCGCGGCCCCGACGGCTGAGGGCTGCGCGAGCGGGCTCTCCCCGCGGGCAGAAAGTGGTATGGTCCGAGCCGGGCTGGGGAAGAGAGAGATGTGTTTACGGAACTCGGAGAAGTCCTCGGAGCCGGAGAGGCGGGGGCGGGGCCGGGGCAGCCGGAGGGCGGGGCCTGTGCGTGCGCTCAGTCTCCTAGGGCGCGTGCACGCTCGCGAACCCCCGCTGAGAGGCGGAAGGAGGGGGGAAGAGAGAATCCTGAGCGCGCGCGCACGCACTGCCTAGACACCAAAATAACGCAACTGATAACCGGGATCCAGTGACCGCTATGGGTGTGAGGGCACTCCGCATGCACTCACAGGAAGCCCCGCACACTTTGTGTAGACACACAATCCGCTAGACACCAACACAGCACAGCCTACCAAAAAGGAGCTAATGCAGCTGTTTGCAGTCACTGCAAACGCAGAAACCCGATGCATAACAACAGACACAAAAACAACGCCATTTACGAAAAGGAAACTAATGAGACTGTTGGCAGGGTCATTGCACAGCCAGCAATTTGGCACATTGTGTAACCACAACCACACAGACACAAAAACAGCGCAACCTACCGAAAGGAAGCTAACGGTGTATAAAGCAATGAGAAAATATTTGTAAAGTGATTAGCACAGTGCCTGGCACGTGGTAGACAGTGAATGCTCACTCCCTTCCTCTTTCCTCTCTATTGAAAGAAATTCGGCACAGTATATACATTGCTGCATAGCTGACATTTATATAGCATTAAGCTTTGAAATATATGCTTCACATACATTTTTTAAATGTTGTTGCCATGTTTTTTTGTTTTTGTTTTTTAGTTAGGCAATCGAGATTAAGTGACTTGCCCAGGGTCATACAGCTAGTAAGTGTCAAGTGTCTGAGGCCAAATTTGAGCTCAGGTCCTCCTGACTCTAAGGCCAGAGCCCTATCCACTGTGGCACCTAGTTGCGCCTTGTTGCCATTTTTTTTTTTTTTGGAATGTTTTTATATTACCTTCATTTCTGATTATTTCCTTCCAGGCTTCCCCCTACCCAGCAGACCATCCCTAGTAACAAAGAATGAAAAAAGAAAAAAGAAAAAAAAAGAGCAGTTCACTAAACCCAACCAGCCGATCCATAAGATCTTACTGTATGTGCAATGCTCCACACCCTTAGTCCTCTACCTCTGCAAGGAAAGAAGTGTGTATTTGGGGAGAGTCACATCTATTTTCTGATTTGGACTTCACAAGAACCATGTTAGGCATTATGTATGGCAAATGCCAACAGCTGTTTTAGCTTCCTTTGGGTCCCTTGAGCTGCTCTTGTGAATACAGAGTGGTGTGAATACAGAGGATCCTGGATTTCTGTCTAATAAAGTGTGTCTGTTGTGTTAACTCCCTGTTAGCCTGTTGCCTTGTGTGTGTGTGTGTGTGTGTGTGTGTGTGCTCACATGTGCATGCACAAGCATGCACTCACTATGTTGGATTTCTGGCCATAAAGCTGCACTCCAGCAGCTACATTAGCTGGTTGTAAATGTCTCTCCCTATTATTTCCCTGTAGGTCTGCTGCCTTATGTGTACATTTTATTAATAATGGATGAAGTGTAAATAGCATCATAAGATTTCATACCAATCCTTGCATTTGACTCTCACTATGAGGTGGAGTTTGTTTGGGTTTTTGCTTTTTTGTTTTTTTTTTGTTTTGCTTTTCATTGAGGCACTCTGGGTTAAATGACTTGCCCAGGGTCACACAGCTAATAAGTGTCAAATGTCTGAGGCTAGATTTGAACTCTAGCTGCCCTTGCTTTTTAAAAAATCATCCTAGTTATCTTTAAGGAAACTGAGGCTCAGAGTGGGTGAGTGGCTTGCTCAGGACCACAAAGCGGCCTAAGGCAAGATTTGCATCCAGATCTTTCTGATTCCAAGCCCCAAGACTCTAGCCACAGAGGCAGTGTGGCACAGTGGATAGAATCCTGCATCTGAAGTCTGGAAGCCTGTGTTTGAATCATACCCAGAACAGATATTGATTGGACTCTGGCCATTCACCAAACCTTACACAGCCTTCATTTCCCAATCTAGAAAACAGGAAAGATAGATAATAACAGCACTTACTTCAAAAGGAGAACCAAGAGATAATGTATGTAAAGTGCTTTGCAAACCTTTAAATACCACAAAATGCAATATATTGTAATTCTAATGTAACAGACTGATGGGTAAATGGAACTGTTGTGTATTTGTTGTTATTCAGTCTTGTCTGACTCCACAGGGACTCCACTTGGTGTTTTCTATGCAAAGGTGCTGGAGTGCTTTGCACTGTTAGGCAGCGGGCTTACAGTGAAAGGTAAAAAACAATCCCCACCCTCAAGTACCTCCCATCTGCTAGGGAGTTACAAGCTACATACTGGGTAAATTGGAGACAATCTCAGCGAGAAGGCAGTAACATTATTTCTCTTTGTTACAATATTAGCTGTAAGATTTTGTGCTAGTTTTTAAAGTTTTCTGTATTTTTTTAAAACTGTAACATACATAGAGAAGGAACCATTTTTAAATGGGAGGGCAGCTAGGTGGTGCAACGGTGAAAAGAGTAGAGTACCAGGCCTAGAGTAAGGAAGACCTGAGTTCAAATCCAGCCTCAGATGCAAACTGTGTGACCCTGGGCAAAGTCACTTCACCCTGTCTGCCTCAGTTTCCTCATCTGTAAAATGAGCTGGAGAAGGAAATGGCAAACCATTCTAGTATCTCTGCCAAGAAAAACCCAAAAGGATCACAGAGTCAGACGCAACTGAACAACAAATTTTAAAGTGAGACCATTCTTTTTATTTATTTATTTTGTTTTAGGCAGTTGGGGTTAAGTGAATTGCCCAGGGTCACACAGCTAGTACGTGTCAAGTGTTTAGTCTGAGGCCACATTTGAACTCAGGTCCTCCTGACTTCAGGGCTGGCACTCTATCCACTGCGCCACCTAGCTGCCCCTGTGGTGTTGTTTTTTGTTTGTATGTTTTGTTTTATGGGACCATTCTTTTTAAAGTGGGATCGAAAGCTTTTGCACTCTGAACGCCCTGTCTTCTCTCTTCCCTCGCTTTTATTTTAAAAATTATTAGCTGACTCAAGGAAGGTCACACAGGCTGAAAGTATAAAATCCAGGATTTGAGCCCAGTTCTCTAGAATCCCGATCCAGTGTACACAGTAAGAAAGTCTAATTGTCCTGGGCGGTGGGAAGAGCCTTGATGCTGGAGTGAGAGGCCTAGATTCAAATGCTGCCTCTTGCCAGTATGACCTAAATGATTCTGGGCTAGTCATTTCACTTTGGTTCCCTCATCCATAAAATGGAGATCCTGGGCCAGATGGCTTCTGAAGTGCCTTCCAAGTCCCAGCTCCAGTTCTGAGTAGAAGAGTCAGGATCTGACACCAGGCTCTCCAAACCCAAGTCCATAGCATGAAGCTAGAAAGCAGCTGAGGAACAATTTGAACCCAGGTCCTCTGGACTCCAAAGCAGCGCTCTGTTCATCCTGAACAACACCTCCCTCCCTCCCCTGCTTCACCACTCTATAATACTACATGTATATACACACGTACACCACACATACTCTATACCCCCATTCAAAGAGCCAGTCGATTATGGGTTTGCAAGCTTACACCTTCCCATAAATGCACATCCAGATTTGCACATGGGCAAAACATGATTGGTATATGCATCAGGGCATGATAGGTAATTCCCTCAGATCCAGCTTGGTGGCGCAGTGGATAGAGCCCTGTGCCTAAGGTCAGGAAGACCTGAGGTTCAAATCCAGCCTTAGACACTTACAAGCTGGGTGACTTTAGGCAAGTCACCTAATCTATCTGCCTCAGTTTCCTCAACTGCACAATGGGGATCCTAATTGCATTTACCTCCCAAGGTTGTTGTAGAGATCAAATGGGATATTTATAAAGCACTTACTTAACACAATACTGTTGTTACTAGCTGGGTGAAGTCACTTAACCGTGTTTGCACAGTACCTGGCACATCATAGGCACTGAATAAATGCATGCTCGCTTCTCCTTTAGGGAAATAGATGCTTATTTCTTTCCTTTCCTTCCTTCTTTTAGGTATACCCCATGTTCAAATTTGAAGCATTTTACTTGCAAAAATACCTTTCCTTCCTCCAGTGTTCTTGGCAAGTGGAGTCTCTTTGAGTGGCTCAAACAGCTGGTACATTTCAAATAACCCATTCTGTGGAGTGCAGCGTGTGGACAGTTTGCCTTGTGTGAGGGTGTGGGGGAGGGAGATATTCCTCCCTCTATCCCTCCCACTGGAAAACAGCCTTTCTACTAATTACAGTATCTTCTGTCTGCAGTGAAATACTTGGAGGAGCACCCCCCTTGCCTTATAGGAACATGAATGTATCCATATGAGGAATGTTTTGTTTCCATAGATAACAACACTTTTTGTTTTTATATTTTATATCTATTTAATATATAACCCATATATAAAACATATTATGTGTTCTATATTACATCTATTTATACATAATATATTAAATATATTTTATATATTAGATAATGTATTTTATTGTTTTATATATATATATATACATATATATATATATATATGTATGTATACATATATATATATACATATATATATATTATATATATATATATATATATATATATATATATATATATATATATAAAATGCCTAGGTTAGACAGAAGGGCTGGTGTGTTTATTCATGTCTTTTTTCCTCACATATTTGGAGAAATAAGGATAACCTCAAAGTGTCATAGATATAGATCTGGAAGGTGTCTCTG